GGAAGATAATGGCAGATGTAAGAACCCGGAAGGGAATGAGTAGATACTCAAGTATCACTCTGATCTGGACAAAAGCGCTGATGCCTTGTCTGGATCACATCCCTTAGGTCTTTCCTACCTCGCTTTGACCCGCGATTCCTCCTACCCCTACCGGGCGGGGGAGGAGCGTGAGCCGCAACACTAGCCTTCTGTGCCCGTCTCTGATCCTCAGACCGAGATGGGCCAGGACCCCTGTGTTGTTCGGGCTCAGACCTGGACCTTCGTGGAGCACCGCCATCGTGTGCAACGAAGCGACAGCCTGACCTGCTTATGCCCTGCCATTGAAGCTAGATGTATCTTGAAGGGGCTTAGATGGTCAGGAGGGAGTCTTAAGAGAGGATGTCTCACCATAGAGAGATAGCTAGTCAGCGTCTCTTCTACGGGGGGCATCTTCTCAGCCGTTTTCGCACATCGCCTCGATGTTGGCATAACTCTTGTGCTGGAATCAATGGATGCGTGAGGAAAACGGCATCTTCCATTCCTTCTCGATCTCTGTATGGAGATCAGGAAGAAAGGAAGGTTCACCTGAACTGGAGGGTTACGGGCAGAAAGATAGCGATCATCGAGATGACTTCGCGACGTCACTTTCTTGGCCCGCTTCCATGGCAAGTCAAGCCTCGCCATGGCGCGATCCATAACTTCCAAAACTCATCATACGCAGGGCAGGAGGATTGGGAAGGCTCAGCCTCAGCTTCTTTGCCCTCCTCAGACATCTCCTGTTCTTTCTGGGTCGAACTTAGCAGAGCACTGGTCCCTGGATCAGACGATGTTAAATGAAATAACATTATCCTTCAGCGGCTCACTCTCGTCACAGCCGACGCGCGAGGGGGAAAGCCCCTCTTTAAACTCATCGGCCAGATCCACCTGCGATCCCCACGAGCTCATTCTCCTCCACGCCTCAGCAGCGGCGGGTCCTGAACCGCGGGGAGCCGATGGCTGCCCCTCTTTCCTCGAAAAGAGAGGCAAAGGAGAGCGGAGCTTTTTCATTGGAAAACGCTCGCAGTGAATGCAAATTGCCCTCTCGAGGACATCGCGTGCGTGCTCCTCGCCCAAACAAAAAACACAGAGATCGCGTGTGTCATCAGTTGTCAAATAACGATGATACGGATGCACACATCCTCTAAACACCTTGCTAGTGCTCGCCATAATGAAGGAATAAAGATCGCTCTTACCACGGAAACGCACGCTTCAAACAAAACATTCAGTGAAGACGAAGAAGAGGATGATGTGTTCTCCTGGCGCCTATTTATTATATAGTTGCACCAGTAGTGACGTCATGGCTGTCGCCGGCCAACGTGTTGTTGGTGTTTTTCCAATGTATGCTTCAGACACGGGTCACGACGAAGCGTTCCCCATTGCGACCCCTAGAGGACGCAGTTCGAAGTTCCCTTGAAAGGGAACCATGAGGTGATGACACGAGTTGAGAGGTGTAAGATTGAGAAGAGATTTGATCAGATGTTGTCTCATAATAGACTTGTTCGAGATGCACTATACTAGCCTGCCGCACTGGCTGGCGAGTGTAGCCGCTTGCAGTCGGGGCGGAATTAAAAGCGGAGACATCAAGTCGGACACTTTCTGCTCCCGGTAGTGACGCTCTCGCGGTGTTTGCATACTCTATCACAGATGAAATGAATAAAATGCAATATTTGTCAAATACACAGACGTTTCAGAAACGTTTTCATGAGCAACAGAAACACTTTTTATATAAGGGTCACATGACAAGACCAACCAATGAGGAACAAGACACATGACTAAAACAACCAATCACAACATGACACAAGAGGCTTGTTCGAGATGAACTATACTAGCCTGCCACCGGCTGGCGAGAGTAGCCACTTGCAGTCGGGGCGGAATTAAAAGCGGAGACATCAAGTCGGACACTTTCTGCTCCCGGTAATGACGCTCGCGCTGTATCTGTATACTCTATCACAGATGAAGTGAATTAAATGCAATATTTCTCAAATACACAGTCGTTTCAGAAACGTTTTCATGAGCAACAGAAACACTTTATATATACTGCTTAATACAGCGCCATCTGTTCATGAACATAACATAATCATATACTATTTAAATACCAATAAAGTGGGGGTATATGCTTTTATCAGTGTTTTATTGATAAATGTGATTCAATATAACTAGTGTGACTACACTAAAAATGATTTTACTGTCATAAAAACACAGATTTGTGAGCATTATTGGAATTGAATTGTTAGAATAAACAGGCAACACACCTCGTTCTTGTCATCACAGAATCTGACCAATGAGAATTGTGTGTCGTCATCAAGGCTCTCGCAGCCGATTTTGAGCAACTACAGCGCCTGACCGAGGCGGCTCTCGCGGTACTTTGATGGCACATGTGATCGTAAGGCGGCTACAGCCCCGATCAAAGTTGGACAAATGTTCTAACCAGAATGCATTGCTTTTGACAGGCGGCAGCCGATCTTTGCGGCG